CCCGGGTTGAAGTAGGGCAGAGGCGCAGACAAGCACCTTTGGACCAGAACCCGGTCCACACTTCCTGACCTTCGAGCCATACTCGGACAGCTAATCGGTATAAGAACGGAATCGGGAAGGGTAAATCGCCCGACTTAACAGGGACGCGATCCCGGAAGACATTGCATGGGGCAGATACATATTCAGTTCTCCTAACGGTTCAGGATGAAAGTCAATGGCGAACCTCGGAGCACCTAAATTTCCCCTCCAATCCTCCAAAAAATCGGAATTCTGAGAAGCATGCTTGAAATTATCCTAGAAATTGATCAAAGGGTTCCAGAAACAAGCTACTGTTTATGAGTTTCGCAGAAATTTTGTCGAAAATTTTGGAATTCGAGTGTAATTGCAGAATAAGCATATGGAACTTGCTGAATATTGTTTTTCACGCAATTCCATAAAAGGCCATCGGCAATGTTGTCAATGGCTAATGTGGTATTTGAAAAGCGTCAGCGTCATATGCCCTTCAAACCGCCGGAAAATGGCTTTTAACTAGTGCCAATTCATTGAAAAGTGTAGTGCCTATCGCGCTTCCAGGAATAATTTCGAAAGGCCATAGGCTTAAATCAATTTTTTTCTCTGACTGTTCTGAACTTAACTGCGAGGAACTATGGTACAGTTCTTCTAAGGAGACAGTGCACGATTTCGAGGTGTTTCAGATTCGCCAGCGGATACACCTCCGACCACAGACGCTTCCGATCTGCTTCGCCTACTTACCGAAGGCAACGGTAAGAGACAAAATTGTAAATTTCTCCATGGTCATTCATCTTCAAAATAAGTCTCATGAGAATCTCCTTTATGAATAGTCTACGGTACTTGGACATGTCGCCGACAGTGTCAATTAATATACCGTAATGAAGAGATTGGGAGAAGCTTTAGGATTTTGAGTTTTTTCGTCTTTCTTCCGTGAACCTACACGAGAAAATGTCGCTAATGGATGGATGGATGGATGATGCTATCAATTATCAGCAGTATGGCCCCAACCGGCAGCTTTTGTTGTCGAGTTCTACCCACAATGATCTACTCTAGTTGCACGAACGCTGGTAGTAGCTAACGACTTAGGGGCGTGGCTTGCAAGATGGGTGGGGCCTTAGTTCAGTGGCGATATCCACAAAAGTGAAGCGCGCCATGCGAACGTGATTTTGTTCGGGAAGCACTCGGTCGTTTTGTATCAGGGTCTAATGATTTTACGTAGATCTTTCGCGGAATTAGCATTCTGTGTTAACTCGATCAACTTTTTGAAGGAGACAACTGAATCGGATACAAGTAGACTTGAGGATTTCAGAGCAAAGTAATAGTGACATCGAGGAAATAAAGAAGAAGACAAGGAATATTCAATTCCGCGCTCACCATTACGACATTGCGATCCTTCCTGCTTTGACGATGCCTCAGAGAGTTGGATTCTACAAAAGAAGGATAAACTTACAGTCAGCGTTAATCGATGCGATGTGAACAGAACAATGTTGGAAATCCTCTATACGCGCAAGAGAAAAACGGAATCTGGAGTCCAAGACAAGATTACGGAGGCCGGACACAAAATGCGGTATCGTGATGACCGTTGGACCACGGCGGTTACGGGATGAATTCCTCGCTACGTCAAACGAACGTTACTGGCGCCCACTCGAGGGAATCGATGATCAGTGGGACGGCAGGTTATGCAGTGATTAGAGCAAGTGAATTGGTGACGCCCTCCAACGAAATACGAAAAGTGATCAGCTCTGAGAGTCCTACTCAAGCGTTGCATTCAAAGAGAGCAGACAAATCATATCTGCATTGCTTTTTTGCATGACATATGCTCGCGCATTTTGATAAATACAAATTCTTTCCACTAAGTGCTCCTTTGTTGAAGAATCCTTCGCTCCAGTCGGCACGAATAAGCTACAGTGCCGTGCAGGATTTCATGGATTTTTACTTTGACAAAAAAATTTACAAAAGCCTGGAAATCTTTTGCAAAATTTTATCGAGTGTTTTTTTTTCAGAAAAAATACAGTTTTTTTTCTATTCATCGATTTCTCGATCTATCACTAGTTTAATTTTGCAAATACAATGTAGATAAGCACTCAGTATACATATATGACCACTCTGAAGCAATTCATCAAGTTAAAAAAATCGTAAAAGAAAAGTTCCATAAAAGTTTGCATAGTACTGCATACCAGTGGGCTCACAAAAGGCACTGGGAAAGTGCCAATCGTTTTACTGCTTGGAATCCACCCGTAAAACTTATTCTTAAAGGTGAGTTCTGAGCTATCACTTAGTGTAGCACAACCAGAAAAAGAAAAAAGAACAAAGTCGACAGTCTCTTCGAGAAAAGTCCCGAGGGGCCGATTTTTCAGGAGCGACCGCCTTCATATGTTCTCAGCCTTCATATGTACTCGGCTACCACGGAGGATCGGGGTAGTTTGGATGTGATGCGATAGTGTCGTCAAGCGAACCTCTTCCAGAATTCCAGAAAGAGATCTTCTAGTGATACAATAATAATGGGATATTGTCTGCCTTACTTGACATTTCTTCTTATCGGTGGCACACTTAATAATATACCAAGACTGCCGCAGAACATTCTATTCGATATCGCTCCCCCTCACTCCCTTCTCCTTCTCCTCTACCCCTCAAGTTAAAGTTAAACCACAAGGTTGCAAGAGTTTCAATTTCAGGCTCTTCCCACTCTCCGAAAGCTCATCTGGAACGCCTTCTCAGTGGTGTCGATCTGCCTCATGATATCACCTCGTCTGCAATGGAAGTACCGACTACGTTCTCTATGGGTATCGATCTGTCCATGTATGGCGATCTTGGATGTGCTGGAGCGTTAAGGTAAGCTATCGAGTTCTGTGATCAATCGATAATCAATGAAATGATCAGTGATCCTATAGCAGCGCCTCCTTTTCGCTTGAAATCCTCTTGCTCATCTGGAAAATTCTTGAAAAAAACCCGGACATTCGAAGTAACTACATAGCGGAATCCATAAATTGAAGATCCGACAGTAGTTGATGAAAGTTCAGCTCATCATCCTTTTAAGGAAGTAGTTATCCCACAATTAAAATGATCTCTGACATTTTTCCGAAAAAATCAGTTGAAATGCTTAACGAAGTAGTAAAGTTCGCAATCTTGCGGCAGATTAGGTGCAAAGCTAAATAACATTATCAAATGTCAGGTTTCCTTCATTTACTAATCTGATAGAGGGAAAATTTGCTTTAATGACATCAAATTATACGAAAATTGCAGAGAACTTGCAAGAGATAAAGGAATCTAATGAGAAGAATAATTTGATTAAAATGCCGGCGAAAGTTTTTTCACACGAATAATTGCTACAGTTAACTCTGGCCAGACAAATGATACTGATGCTGATCTTTTCGAAGAGAAATTTCTCTGTATACTGTAGAGACCCATGCTTTTACCTCTGAGGGATTCTGAACTAGAAAGTCTTGGGAATTCCGTGGTCCTATACGGCCAGATTTGGGAGAGTAATGTCGCGAATATGCCAACCCAGAAGATATATAAGAAGAAATGGGCTCATTGATCGGTTTGTAGCATGAGCCATGATTTTGCCTTTACTGGTTTTTTGGTTGACTTTCTTAGTAATTTCGTTAGGGTTCTCCTATCAAATAGATAGCTTTTTCAACAGATTCAGGGTGGAGCTCGAATATGGATTGGTCTCTACAGTAGCCTCCGTCGGTCAACTGAAGGTCTAGTTAGTGGTACGGGTTTAACAGGAGAGACTTTTTTCAATCAATCATTCCCAAAGATAAAAGGCGTTGGTGGAGCCTGAACCGTCGAACGAATCTACTACCCCAAATCCTAAGAGAAGTTCGGTGTTAGTTGGATTAGACCTCAGTGCCAAGCTGCTGAGCTTCTTTCTTTTCACTCCTTCACAACACGCACAAAGCCTCATCAGGGAAGCCACATCGTGGTAGTTCACCCAGATAGTAATCGTTTGACAGTGGGCAAGCAGGACAAATTTGGGAGTAACTGCTCTATTGCGGAAAGTTGCTTGCGCATTGGCCGCTGGATATAAATCATTGTAAACGATTTTCTATTTTTTAGAAACTCTTCAAAGACTCTGAAATGTCCGAAGTGTAACTGGCATTACAAGTATCAAGAGACACTGGAGATACATATGAAGGAAAAACATTCTGAAGGAGAGGTGAGTGATATTGCGACGGAATATTCAGCTTACCCAAAGACTTTCCTGTACAGCTTCCTGAGCAACCGAATAAAAGAATAAATCCGGGTGTTTTTCCCAATAAGGTGAAGTTGGTTTGGTGCAGACCAACTAAGACAGTGAAATCTACAACATCCTTCTTCCTACAGTAATGTAGCTTTAGAGGAGTTCGTATGCAAAATTGAGGTTACCGTAATCTTCAATGGACTACTGCTGTACATCCCTTCTTACTGGAAAGACGCTAAGATGGGTACTTTTTGGGTCAGAGTCGCTCACTACTCGGATTCAGTTCGGGAATCAAAAATCTATCTCTGAACGGATTTTTGATGCAATACTATTTGTGAAACGATTGCTGAAAGAACGTTTTAGCACAAAATGCGACGAGTGTTACCCATGGTGACCAGGCGGCTAACATATTTATTAACTAGTAGTAGTGGGTATACGAGACGGGTTACGGTTGGAATTCGGATACAATTGAATTGACGTTCTTCTGATCGCTCACTATGAACGCGAGGGTTCCAGGATAGATATCAGTGCACTATAGCCAACAGCATTGAGCCTGGGTACTAAACTTCACACTAGAGGAATAGAACGTGTTGAATGAAATTCCTGAAGAGTTCTCGATCGAGAGGGATCTCAATAATCATTCGTCGTAGTGGTTCTCACCCTTACCGTAAAAGGTCCTGAAAGAAACCCAGAGAGGATACATCACGATTCCGAATTCTTACCGTGTTCTCACTTTTGCTGGTTGCAGATTATGGCATTGCTTTATACTTCGAAGTAAAACTATGTGTGGGGTATTTTACGACATTTTACTAGTAACGAGGTTACTGTAGGAATTAAGAATGTACTGTATTTTTGTTCTATTTACAAGCTAAAATGAAATTCCACCCATTGTCAGTATTTAAATACTGTATGTAATATTTATACATGTACCATAATAAGTGGTGATGACAATAACTGTGGAGTACTGAGACAGGCCTTGTTACCCGGTTTATATGCGTCGCACACGCCGCACCCGCCGCCTATCGCAGGATTGCGATGAGAGATTGGAGCGCGCAATTTGTGAGGTAGGGAGTCCTTTCATTACTTGAATTGGCTGACCGCTTTCTTCAATTCCAATGCAGTCTTGACCGCCGCTTGCATAGGAGGAGTCATTTTAATTAAACAAGTCCAATAAACATGAAAACTAAAAAGAAACAGAAGAAAAAACGATAAAATCCAATGAAAAAGCAAGCCAGTCAAGGAAAAATATCGCGTCCTATCGATTTTCGGGTGGCGGGATGAGTACGGTAATTGCAGTGACATTTGCCGCATGCCGCATGGGAGAATGCCGCGATAGGGGAGAAGTTCCATTACCCTGGAGTAGTGAGACAGGCCTTGTTACCCGGTTTATATTTTCTATATAAAGATATGTATTCCAAAGATTCATTTTGAAAAACGATAGGAGCGATTAGAAGTTTTCAGGTGGAAGTTGAATGCTGGGGGCATCCTTACACGGGATTGATCAGAGCCCAAAGACTTTATCTAAGAATTTCAGGTGAAATGCGGTTACTGCGCTGAAAATCGTGCTCACCCAAAGTTAGCTCGTGGAGAAAGCTATTCATGCGGTTACAAGCCATACAGGTGAGCAAGTTTTCCTCTAGGAAAGTCTTAATTAGTGCTGGAATACAACTGGAAGGAATAATTACAGTTCAATAACAAAAAATAAACAAAAGGCATACAATATCGAAAGAACCTATCATTCCCCATTTTCTTTTGTAGCCTCAAGATTTAAAGCTGAAAAGTGGATATGCTCGGATGATTAAGGATACTCCACCACAGCGACAACTATACAGTAGATCCCTGCGTCTCTGCCGTAGCTACCTTATCCGATCAGATCAGGGTTTTCTTTATCTGCCTTCTTATTGTGTTCATCACCTGTTGTCCCGTTGATCATCCACTTCCTCGGACGTGTACCAGTAAGACCTCCTTTGGTCCCTATTGCGTGCCAGTGTAGTCCAGTGGATCGTCCTCTAGAGAGACAAAGCATTCCGTCCGTTCATTAATCATGAGAATCCCCCTCAAAAGTTCATGGAACAGAATCACGCCCTATCCTTCTGCAGTAGGTAATGGTGTAGTGGTATATGGCCGATTACATTTGCCTGAGTATATCGATTATTTTCCGATCATGTTATGACGTATTTTCAGGTGTGAGTTGTGTAAGTACAGTACGACAACGAAAGGAAATTTAAGCATCCATATGCAAAGCGATAAGCATCTTCATGCTGTGCAAGAGTTACCTAGCAGTATCGGTGAGTTCTCCTTCGAAGTCACCACTCTGAGGAATCAATTCAGGAATCCGAAGTTAAATTACGACTGAAGATTTCTTTACAGTAAAGTGAGAGTTATCGATTTTCAGCGTCCCTTTCCTGTCCGCCAGCTCGTTCGCCTCCATCAGACGGTGATCGATCATTGGTATGCGTTGTGTGTGGATGTTACTCCAGTGATGATCTTGATGAGATGATCTCACATGCTGATAAGGTAATTGATGCCTAAAAGTCCCGGACGGACAAACTTCTGCCCACAAGGCTGCTCATAGAGATTTTCCAAGAAGGGCGGAGTTTCCCACGCAGTCAGGGTACATGCATTTGTACATAGAGGAGCTAGGTTTTTGAATGTTGGGTATTTCCCCTGTACATCAGTTCGAGTAACTTGAAAACAACAGTCAGTATATTGTAGTATAGCTTCTGCGGCTACTGTAAATTTCCTTGTAGGACCGCTCACGTCCATCCCATGGCGATATATCGATGAGTGGAGGTGTGTTCCGTTGTCATCTGTGTCCATATCACACAAACCTCAAGGCGAATTTCCAACTGCACACTCGGACCGACAAGCATCTGCAACGAGTACAAATGGTAAGTTCGAATAGAAGTTTGTGGGCGGAGTTTCCCATGGGGAGCGGGCTGTGGGTGGGGTCTACTGCTAAATGGAAGGATGCGGATTCAAGAACTATATTCGTCGTTTTGGCTTCTTTCAATAATCTATAAATGGGTGCAACTGGACTCCCAAACTCGCTAAGGGCCTTCATTTTTCCTTGGTTTTCTGGGGTTCAGCATGTCGACTGTCGAAAAATGGAAGATTGGAAACCTATTCTGGAAAAAATTGTTGTCAAGCTTGGCTACTCAGTGATCTTCTCGATAGGAATTCGAGAGGAGATTTTTTCGCAAAATTCAGCAGAAAGGGGGATAATGGGAATTTTCACTTCACGTAGAGTCATAAGGCCTTTTATGGCCTCAAGTTGCACTTAGATATCCCGTCCAATTCATTTCATCCAATCTGGTTACCCCTTAATGTGTTTTCCATTGTTACCGGTCAGTGTGTGCGCGATTTCCGCTGACTCACCCAACGACTCATGTGGGAATGTGGGACGGTGGTCGTCACGAGTCGCAAAGCCTGCTAATGTCCGCAACACAACATACCCTGATAAGGAATACGGTTTCATGCGGTAGGAAAATTCATGGGTGAAAGCCATGTCGTGCGCCGAGTTTAATGTTGTTGTGATTAGCTAAGAGTACATGATATGACTTGGAACAAAAGGCCAGGAGAATGTGTCACGCCCGGAACGGGAACGGTCCAGCGCTAGGTTCGTTCCCACGCTTGATGTAGGCTTGGGACATTTGGAAGTAGAATTCATCAAACAATAGCGTAGTTTTCCATTTGGGCAACCTATTTGCTTGGTAGTCGCTTTTTCAACATTGAAAAAGTATCGGCTGCGTGGGTCAGGTGTTTGGTAACATAAAGACTAGATAAACCCGGAATAGCTTAGGAGTTGCATCTGTTGGCTCATCAATGACCCAACCGAGGGACGGAAGACGAACTCGATTTCGATCCTTGAGGGTGCCTGCCTGCCTCACCCATCTTGCCTCAGCCATCGGTTACGGTGTTGTAGCAAGAAGGGAAAGAATGTAGGGAATCTCTTTAAACTACTCTTAGGGTTAATCGGTCCTAAGTGTTGGCGACTTGCATGGGTTGTTTACCCGTTAGGCAACAAGAAGAGTACGCTAGTAAGTAAATCAGTTGAAATTCCAGAATCAAAGTGAGAAATATTGAAGTTGTGCCCAAGAGCGCCATAGGTGAAGGATGGGACTTAATAGGACTTCATTGAAGCAACTGTACTGAAAAGTATTAACCAACTTGTCGATCTAGTATTTCGGGAAGTCCTTCAGGTTTCTAAAATTGAGGTGGCAGTAGGGAATGTGTAGGGAAAGGCGGAACTTGGGTTGATAGCCAGGGTATTCCAGGGGTACATACTTTCTTTAGGGGCTCACTTTGACCAGTCCCTTTCCTTGGATGAGTCTGGGAACGAATAACAAGGAATCAACCGTTAAAGGCTACTCCAGATGGTTGAAATCTGGGCGTGGTCTGAGGCTTCCTTGGGTTCCACTCTCCTTAGACCATTCCGTATCACTATTGAATCAGGCGGTTCCCTCAACGAATTGACCAGATAAGGTCCCCGTCGTAGACAAGCCGTGCTATGTACGACCAGCCATACATTGTGGTTGGTGATGGTGAGAGCTGGCCAGGGTGGGCTGAGTCAGACGTGGCGACGGCTACGAATCGTCCCAGTCGGCTGAGTCATGGCACGTGCCGAGACGAATTAATCTCCAGCCGCGAAAACATTTCCATTCGCCTCAATTATTGTTTGCCTTCGAATCGCATGCACACGACACCACAACGGCGACGTCCCTATCCAAGGTGTTATAAGCCGACGACTGTCGTCCATACAGTATCTGGCCGTGCTAGGCCGCAGCATACACGAACGTCGACAAATAAGCCGTACAAATTGGCCTCTACACCCACTTCCACTGCTTACTATGGCTAAGAGTTGGGTAGTTGAAGCGATGAAAGTCGAAAAATTCGTCCACGTCCATGAGGTCGCCATTGTCGGCACCAATCATCTTCATTTGCGCGATTGAGGTTGATTCTATTGGGTGGCTGATTCGCTGGGAAGGGACAGAAGTCGACCGTCACAGCCTGTCATCCTATTACTGTCATATGCACTTTAAGATTTACTTTTTAGTAATCATTTGTGATTGATTTCTGGGGAAACTGAGTCAATTGCCATTGGAATTCTAATAGAAATAAAAATTAAACCGGTTATCTACTTAACTTCATAAATTTCCACTGAGGAGCGTCAATTATGTGCGGTTTAATGGTAGATCTTCGAAGAATGATGGAGTTTAACTTTTCTTTTTCGTTAAGCAAACACCACGGAACGGTGGAGAATCAGAGTTGGGGGNGGGGGTTATAAATAAAAATAAACAAATATTGAAGAATACTTCATTAAGAAAGTCCTATAAAGGTAGAGAATAGGCAAAGGAGTAATGGCAGTACTGCACTCTCCTATATGGTCTGAAGACTTTGCTGGAGAACTCCCAAAAGTCATTGATCTCTTTGATTCTTTCACGTCTCTGTAATCCCATGTCTTCCTCATGTCTCTGCCTGGTCCCTATTCACCAAGAGGGAACTGTAACTCTAAAGGTCTCATTTTCACTCAATTTATTGTCCCCACTCTTAGTGGGAATCTATGTAGATAGAATTGGTAGGGGTAGAAATGAATTTAACTATGAGGGGGGATGAATTTCCAACTGGTTCATTTCATAATTATGATATCAGAAACAGGATGCTTGAGAGCAGGCCCTGGCACTGTTTCCAGAACGTTCGCCCGCATACAAGAAATCGAAAAGGAGTCATCAACGCCTCTTTTCACGGTTAACCAAGCCTCTACTTTTCCGTTCTAAGAAATTGAGCTTTCTTGATGAACTTTACTGGTTCACCCCTTCAAGATGGATTTCCCTCACTATAACGGTATGCATTGCGTATCTTCGGACTCGATTAAGAACCAAGCGGTTCATCTGCCCAGTTACTTCTACAAATATTCTTATCTTGGCTGACTGAATGGCTGAGAAGAATCAGAGGAGAGTCGTGCGTGAAAGAGTTATGTCTCAGCGATTGCGCCATGTTCTCGTCAATCTCCAAGTCAATCGGCGCGATTGATAGATCTTCCGTAGTACTTCTTGAGCCTCGTGGCTACCACGTCGTTCATGTATGTGTCGTTCTTGGAAGACTGCCCATGGACCCTTAGTTCTCTTTCAGTGCCCGATTTTTTACGATCTACGATTTTCGAGAATTCTTCCGTGGAAACTTTCAGGAAACGACTGTCCGACCCCTGCCCTCCTCCCAATCTTTGGAGTATTTGAATTGAATCGAGCCCAGTTTGTGAAAAACGTGTTAGTTAGTCATTGCCGTAATCTTGTTTGACAGATTCAATTGGTGTCCATGAATTCGTCAACTGATCACCTTCGTAATCTCCTATTTCGATGAATGAATTGAATAGAATGGCGCAATGGATTAGGTTGACAGGGTGTTTTTCAATATGATTTTCTGGCAATTATAACCCCAGATTGCTGAAAGAGAGGCTTATCTCGGAGTGCACTAGGGTCCTCAAGCGGATACAGTATAACAGGGAATTACATTCTGGATGAATAGATAGAAGTTGCTTTGTGAAGTTGTTTTGAGCAGTGGCATTTTAATTTTGTACCATTTTCTGGAGCCGCCACGCTTTCAAAAAAGTCGGAAGGGTACCTTCTAGATACAGTCGAATCGGGTACGCCGTAATCCCTCATCGTACGTGGGCATTTTCATCTGATTGCTTTTCTCACTGGATGGTGAACCTTATCAATTTTGTAGAGTCAAAGGGAGGCAAGGCTTTTTATGGGGAAGTATTGGATTCAATGAGGACGTAGAGAACGTAATTGTCAAGGTTCAGTTACAGGTATACTTCACGATGAGCCTCCGAGAACTAGAACAGCTACATTATACCCATTTTTCTAACCCTTCGACACCGATTTCTGGAAGTTCGAAATACTTCACCGGCGCCAAGTAAGGGCCAATTCCAAATAAAGGTGAAAGAAAATCTAGCTGGCACTTTTCCGGAGCAGTCTGCTATTTAGGCGAGATTTCCAAACCATTTCGCACTCAACACTGATCCTCTTCCTGTGGCGGGAACCCAAGGAGAGGACGTACTGCTGCTTTGGATTGATGGGAGTTAAGAAGGAGTTATAATTCCGGAGCTGAGGGTGGGCCGGGANGGTGAAAGAAAATCTAGCTGGCACTTTTCCGGAGCAGTCTGCTATTTAGGCGAGATTTCCAAACCATTCCGCACTCAGCACTGATCCTCTTCCTGTGGCGGGAACCCAAGGAGAGGACGTACTGCTGCTTTGGATTGATGGGAGTTAAGAAGGAGTTATAATTCCGGAGCTGAGGGTGGGCCGGGACTCCGCTGTTGTTCAACAGAAGTTTTACTTACGAAGTACATAAAGCTTATGACCATTCAGTCTGGGTTGAACTCAAAAAGTTTTCGAGCTTCCAGTCAGAGCCCTTTTCGGCTAGTTCGACCAACGGGAAGAATGAAAAGTGAAGGCCCTTCGGGTGTGACGATGGTCATGAGCTTTATGTACTAATTGGTAACTGAAACTGCTAGTTGATCAAAAGCAGAGTCCCGGCCCACCCTCAGCTTCGGAATGATAATTCCTTTTTAACTTCTGTCGATTTCAAAGCAGCAGACAGACTGGGTGTGTGGGCGGGAACCTCATATGACTATGCCCTCTCCTTTGGGGCATTCCAGTCGGGAACAGTCAATGGGCCACGACTTCACACATGCTGAGTATACAAAAGTGCATCAGAAATTGGAGTATTACTAGTTTCCCTAATTACCCTCGAACCTAGTGTATGCTCGGAGTACATCTGTACTGAATGAAGTGCTTGTTGGCTGTTGTTGTATCGTTGTCGTAGTTGAACATGAGACTCGTTTTGTGTTTTGCATTGCAGGGTGAGGGTGGCGATGATAATGATGATGATTATGATGACGGTGATGATGATGATTACAATGATGGCCATGGCGGTAGTGATGATGATGACAGGATCGATTGATTGATTGTCGATTTATTTGACACGCACCGCCGCTTTGAATAATAAGAATATAACT